CGTATCCCGGTTAATGCTCGTGTATTAATAACCATCATTACATGATCGTTGCATAATATACTATTATTTGACTAATTAGGGTTATTACACTCTTTGGCAGCGATTGTTATACTGGTAATAAGCGGTAGTTCCCTTATGGTGCGTTAAAAGAAGTGTTTCTCTATTTATTACAATAGAGAAATGGTGGATTTTTAATGTATGTACTTTGGATAATGGTTTTTTTTTCTAAATATAGCTGAGAGTATACCTATAGCTACCATAGAGAGCAAATAAATAATTTAGAGTATTTAGACAAATAAAACAGCAAGTTATGCACAAGTATTAGAAATTAAAAATTTAATAAAAAAACCGACTTCAAAAACGTGCAGATGTCATCACCACATCTTAACCAAATTTATATGGGGCCACCCCTGAAGTACCCCCTTTCTAACAAAAAAAAGAATCCTATAAATCGGACAAGGTGGTAAAGCATTATCGCTAAACATACATAAAAAATTAAGAGTTTGAGGATTTTCTCATGAACCCAATTATTCGATTTTGACCAAATTTAAATGGGGCCACCCCTAAAATACCTCCTTTCTAACAAAAAAATCTGATGTGTCCAACACATGACTTTCCTATCTAGTTATTACAGGCTTTTTCCGGTTATTTTGTACAACCTATTGCAGCATCTCTATAAATGTTTAGAGGATAAACTAAATATATACATTGTCCACATACATCTACCGCGAAACATTTTTCTATAGATATTCATTGAAAATGAAAATACTGAAAAATTTAAATTTAGCACCTTTCCTACAATTTTTCCATTACGGTCCATTTTAAAAAAATCATGTATAAAAAATATTATAGAGATCGATATCGCAAACAACTTTTATTTCAACAATTTTCATAAAAATCAGAATTTTGCACATTTTGTCAAATTTTTCGAATACGGACCATTTCAGGAAATTTTTACATAAAGCAAAAATTATAGATAATAATATTAGAAGTAACTTTTATTTGAACAATTTTTTTCTCCAAACATAAATAACAGATATATTCCTTAAAATATAAAAACGGCCTCCCTTAAAGTACCCCCCCAGATGTTCCGACTTTGTCCAAAATCTAATCATTTCACGTAAGGCCGAAATAAAACTTAAGTTTAAAATTTAATATTTTTTTCTTTATCCGTTTTTGAGTTTTCTTCAAATTTCGAAATTTACACATTTTCTCAAATATCTCGAATACGGTCCATTTTAGAGAAATTATCTATAAGATAAAAATTATAGAGAATTATATTACAAACAACTTTTGTTTGAACAATTTTTATAAAAAAAATATTTTTTTACATTTTGTCAAATTTCGCGAATACGGACCATTTTAGGAAAATTTTGTATATAACAAAAATTATAGATAATAAAATAAGAAGTAACTTTCATTTGAAGAATTTTCTTCCCCAAACGTAAATAACAGATATATTCCATAAAATATAAAAATGACCACCTATAAAGTACCCCCCCAGATGTTCCGACTCTGCCCAAAATCTAATCAGCTCATTAGACGCTGGAACAAAGCTTAAGTTAAAAATTTGGTGTTTTTCCGTGTATCGGTTCATGAGTTATGCGTTATACAGACACACACACACACACACACACACACACACACACACACACACACACACACACACACACACACACACACACACACACACACACACACACAGACACACACACACAGACACACACACACACACACACACACACACACACAGACATCATCGCGAAAATAGTCAAAACGGATTCAGGGGACCTCAAAACGTAAAAATCCGTCGAAAACTCGAGGTCGAAAAAAATCATGATTCCTATACTTTCCTTATATCTGTATACAGATAGGAAAGTAAAAAAATCATATAAATCGGACAAGGTGGTAAAGCATTATCGCTAAACATACATAAAAAATGAAGATTTTGAGAATTTTCTCACGGACCCAATTATTCGATTTTGACCAAATTTATATGGGACCACCCCTGAAGTACCCCCTTTCTAACAAAAAAATAATCATTGAAATCGGACGAAAAAAAAAATATTGCGACGAATTTGAGGACTTCCTCCTTTTTTGAAGTCGGTTAAAAATGCAAAGCTGGCCTTTAAAAAAACACTTATTCATTCTATTGGAAAATCTTTATAATTGCAATTATTTTAACATTATCATCGTTTTCATGTCTAATTAAATGAATTTAATGCAATGGTTAGTCCTTACAGACACTATAAACTTTATAGAATAATTAATTGAATAAAAATAGCAAGAATAAAGGTTATTGTACAAGATTATAAAAATATGTGTATGTATCATCTTGTTTAGATAGATAAAAAACCTATTTATATACGGCCATTGTTTGATATCTAACAAAAAAAAAAGAAACTATAAATATTATTGATATAGTTATTAAATTTTAACAAAATATATGGTAATATTATTTATGCTGGATTTTCTGTAAATTATGTTAATTATAAAAATATAAATAAACTTTTTATTAGAAATCAAATATAAGCCATACAATTTTTTGAGTTACTTTTTTCGTATAAAATTATTATATATTTTATAGAAATAATTTAGAAATTTTTAACGCTGTATCTAATAACTTAATTATAATTCTGAAATATACGAATTTTTCAACATGGCAATTTGAAATTTCTTAATATTTCAGATATTTATTAACTTGGTCTTTTACTCACCGAAATAAAATTCTAAAATTTAATTTCAATATACGGAGTGGCCCAAAAGTCTGGAAACCGCTAATTATCTCGTAAATTGCTAGTCCTACTTATACAAAATTTTAAGTACACCTATTTTGGAATACGGAGATCCCAGATTTGATATTTGCAATGTTGCCAGATTTGCCGTTTCTCTTATATTATTAGTCACTTTGGTTTTTCAAATTCATCACCCTGTATATTCAGTCATTATTGGAATCTCCTATTCAATACGAGTTCAACCATATGTAACACTTATGATTTTATGTAGTTTGGAAGGTCTTAAATAAATAAAACAATCATGGAGAAATGTGGTAGACGCATTCTACCATCGATTACGGTACTGTCAACTCACAAATGGAGCACATTTTGAACACTTGATAAAGTAACCATTATGTTAAAATTGTTACGTTTTAATGTAGTTGAAAATAGTTTGTATTAAAAAATGTATTGAGACAATTAGGCGTTGCCAGACTTCTGTTTTATTTATTTAAGACCTTCCAGACTACATAAAATCATAAGTGTTACATATGGTTGAACTCGTATTGAATAGGAGATTCCAATAATGACTGAATATACAGGGTAATGAATTTGAAAAACCAAAGTGACTAATAATATAAGAGAAACGGCAAATCTGGCAACATTGCAAATATCAAATCTGGAATTTCCGTATCCCAGAATAGGTGTACCCCAAATTTTGTACAATTAGGACTAGCAATTTACAAGATAATTGGCCGTTTCCAGACTTTTGGGCCACTCTGTATTTACTATCAAACTTTATTGGATATAATTAAATTATGTTTGAATTAATCTAAACCATAATAGGTATTGTTTACTTATTAGCTAATAAACATAGTTTATTTATTTTGAGACTATTTGTTTATGTATTCTTTTAAATATACATAGTTACTCTTTAATTTTTTCTTTGTTTTCGATTGCCTACCTACTTATTAATAATCTCTCCTCCCTTTTCAAAACCAGTTATCAAAATATTGCCAGCAATTGTGAAGCCTTTGGCGTTCCTACCCCTATGGACTATCAGAGTCTTTAATCAGTTGCCAAAACTGCTCAACTGCTCTATTGATTAAAAATTTATTGGTACGGGTAAATGGATGTTCTTTTAGGGCTCCAAGACCCTATAACTGGCAACAGTGCTGACTCATCCCTTAATAGAATATTGGTTATAGTGATCTAAATTGTTAAAGGGGCTATCATTATTTTATTTTACGTTTTGGTCACATTTGAGTAGAAATTATTTTCTTTTTACTTTCCTGTCTGTCTACAGATAATGAAAGTATAGGAATCATGATGTTTTTTAGATCTCGAGTTTGGAGTTTGGAAAAGAAAATTCTGCAAATAAAAGTTACGTGTGTGTGTGTGTGTGTGTGTGTGTGTGTGTGTGTGTGTGTGTGTGTGTGTGTGTGTGTGTGTGTGTGTGTGTGTGTGTGTGTGTGTGTGTGTGTGTGTGTGTGTGTGTGTGTGTGTGTGTGTGTGTGTATGTGTGTGTGTGTGTATGTGTGTGTGTGTATGTGTGTGTGTGTGTGTGTGTGTGTGTGTGTGTGTGTGTGTGTGTGTGTGTGTGTGTGTGTGTGTGTGTGTGTGTGTGTGGTGTGTGGTGTGTGTGGTGTGTGTGGTGTGTGTGGTGTGTGTGGTGTGTGTGGTGTGTGTGGTGTGTGTATGTGTTATGTGTGTGTGTGTATGTGTTTGTGTATATATATATGTGTGTGTGTGTGTGTGTGTGTGTGTGTGTGTGTGTGTGTGTGTGTGTGTGTGTGTGTGTGTGTGTGTGTGTGTGTGTGTGTATGTGTGTGTGTGTGTGTGTGTGTGTGTGTGTGTGTGTGTGTGTGTGTGTGTGTGTGTGTATGTGTGTGTGTGTATGAGTGTGTGTGAGTGTGTGGAATGTATAAAATGTATGTATTTAGTTCATCCTCTAAACATTTACAGGGGTGATATAATAAGTTCTACAAAGTAACCGGAAAAGACCTGTAATAACTGAATGTGTTGGACACATCAGATTTTTTTTATTAAAATTTAACGAATGTCATTATTTTGCAGACTCTTTTTAAATTTCTTATAATATCCGCCCATGTTTAAAAACAACAAAAGCCTAAATATCCTCGAGATGATGGTACAAAACATCCTAGTACATGATATGCATTACTTAGGTATATGTTTTTATGATCGACGCTGTTAATGTTATACATTCATTATTTATTTAACAAAATAATATCGTGCAAAAAATAATAAAAATACGAATCTTCTTACCTGGCTTGCACCAAATCTGCCACATATTTCCAAAAACAGCGACCCTTTCAGGTCCAGGCAATTTGTACACGACCAACAAGTACTTGATAAATTTTCCAAGTTTCTTAAAGAAATTCATGCCGAACATGTAACACAAGAGAGCCCAAAAAAGAACAAACAACGCCAAAAACATTTTGAAAACCAGTACCACTAATCAATCAGTCGGTTCAGCTGTTTGTTATGGATTGACGGTATCGATTTAAAAATACGAAATCTGTTAACATCAAGTATTTATTAGTTAATAGTAAATTGGTGTGTGTCCTTTCTATTTTTTATAATCATCTCAAATAATCTACCTACGTATTGGTGTTCGTTAAGGTACATCTTTTTCCATTTTCTAATTTAACGAAATTAAAATACTTTCATCTTAATATGCCTATTAGTGATCTTAAAGTTAAATAATATTACGAAGTTATAATTTTTCTTTTGAGTATCTATAAGAATCATGATTTTACAATTTTTTACGTTTTGACCTTACTCGATAACTTTATAAAAGGAGAAAGAGAAAAACACTAAATTTTAAACTCAAGGCTTAATTCATCTTGCTGTGAGCTGATTATATTTTGGGTATAGTCGGAACATCTGGGGGATACCTTATAAACGTTAATTTTTCTAATTTAAGGTATATTTCTATTATTTGAGACACAGAACAACTGAAGATTCTCTGAGTAAAAATAAGACAATTAAATTAAAAATGCTTAGATAAAATATTCCGAAATACAGGATGTTAAAGATGAAAATTCAAAAATTATTAATGGCTATAATATTCATGGCCTTAATTTGTTATGAAAATAGATGATGATGATGCTATTCGAGGCAAAAGAAAAAAAACGAAAACCGTTTTGAAAGTTACAAATGTCACTTGTTATTTTAGACTGTCTCCAATCTCCAATTATAACGATTGAAAAGAAAACGTCGTAGGGCAATCAAATACAACAATTTTCTGAAATATTTGAATGGAAGTACCTACCTACAGAAGAATGATGGTGAATTATTTTTTAACCATACACAATTTTATAAATAATCAAGTCAAAATTACAAAAAATCTTGTATGTAACACATTACGAAATGCTTCGCTTCGCTCGTCCCACAAATATTTACTCGTTACACAAAATACGGCCTTCTGTAACTGGTTACAAAAATAACTATTATATAAATTTCAAATAATAATATTGGTATTCATTTCTATCCTAATTTGATATACAGGGTCCAGCAGTGAAACGGAAAGATTTCGAAAATAATTTTATTGTTTAAGAATATTTTTTTAAATAATTTTTAATACATTAATGAAAAATAAGAAAGTAGCCATTTGGTTTACAATATCAAAAAAATTATTTTTCTGCCTACCTCTATCCAAAGTATACATTTCCTGACCTCATTGCAGGGAACAAAGTCATACTTTTCCTCCCTAGGGAGGAAAATTAAAAGTGACGTCATGGTATGTCATAAATGAAATAGCTTATACGGCATTGACGACCTAAACTATATTCTATTATATAAGTATGAATTTTACCGTTTATTTATAGAACACCCTGTATTTTGCAAAATAGTAAAAATCAGTAATTTGTTATTTTAATTTAACGATTTTTACATTAATAATTTGACTTCAATTCATAGATTCATCCGATTTTCGAATTTAGGACAGAAATATTATAGCATGCTATGGTCGATTGACAGATCAGTTTTAAAGTGTGTTACGCTATAATATATCTACAAAATATAAAATAATATTTAAAAAATGAGTGATTCAAGCGAATTTAAAGATATAAATAATACACCACCGGATATTTTGGAACAGGTTAATGCAACAGTTCAATCTCTATTACCCCAAAAATCTAAAGAAAAATACGAAAAACAGTATTTACATTTCAAGCAATGGGCCGAAGAAAAGCATATTCGTACTTAGAAAAATAAACTCTACCACAAATTAAAAATATGTAGGATGCAAGAATGAAAATAACATGCCTATAATTTATACTATACCTACTTCATAATTTTAGTTCTTTAATAAACTTTGTTTATTAGTTTCATAAATAAATTATTTAAAAATGACTTGTTATTTGAGGGAGGCGGAAAAATCATATGTATTACTTGGGAGTAAAGTGCCTTTTCCTTTCTTGGATGTTTACTGCCCTCCGCTTCGCGTCGGGCAGTAAACTTCATCCTGCGGGAGGAAAAGTGGCACGTTTCTCCCTAGTAATACAAATAGCTATTTTGAACACTACATTCGCCAAATGTCCTCCGTTACAATATATGCATTCTTGGAGTCGTGCCTGAAAGTTTTGCATAACTTTGCGCAGCATATCAACAGGTATTGCTGTAACCTCGTCACGAATCCGTTGTTTAAGAGCTGGGATTGTCCTGGGTGGATCATTTGCAAACACATTTGTCTTTAGGTATCCTCAAAGAAAGAAGTCGCAGGCGGTTAGGTCGGGAGACCGAGGGGTGCCAACTGATATCCCCGTTTCGAGAAACGATACGCCCTGGAAACAAAGCATTTACAGCATTCATTGAAATTCTTGCAGTGTTACTTATTGCCCCGTCTTGTTGAAAAATTGTGTGTTCATCCACTGGAAAGCATTCAAGTTAAGGTGTAAGAAAATTCTGAATCATTGCAACGTATCGTACAGAATTAACGGTAAGGGGCATTTTCAGCCTCATTCTCAAAATAAAAATGTGGACGTTCAATATTTTCAGGGGTTCAAACTATTTTGTCACTACCCCCCTTTTTTTAGACGTCAATCCTGTTTGTTCCAAGTTGTTTACCCATTTTTTTATCTCTTTATCAGATGGAACAGTTTGGTTGCGCGGTATGTTTTGCACTAAACTCTCACCATTTTGAAAATAGGCTTTAACTGTATAATTGCGATGCTTACCCGTCCAACGCTCTATGGTAAAATAAATGGTAAATCATGAAGGTCTTGGCGAGTCAGCTACTTTCTTCCCCACTTCGCGGCGCGCTGCAAACCGTACCCCAAATCTTTCCGTTTCACTGCCGGACCCTGTATATACGGAGTGACCCAAAAGTCTGGAAACGGCCAATTATCTCGTAAATTGATACTTCTAATTATACAAAATTTGGGGTACACCTATTTTGGGATACGGTGATTCCAGATTTGATATTTGCAATGTTGCCAGATTTGCCGTTTCTCTTATATTATTTGTCACTTTGGTTTTTCAAATTCATCACCCTGTATATTCAGTCATTATTGGAATCTCCTATTCAATACGAGTTCGACCATATGTTTTTTATACTTACAAATATGTCCGATAATTAACTTTAATGTACCCCACCAGAATTACGAATAACTGCAGAATAAGCTACCCAAAGTATGACTCCGGAAAAAAACAGAAAGAGATACGAAAACACTTACAAAGCATATAGTAAGTGACATTTGCTAGCCGGGAAAGTTACTTCCCGGCTGAGGTAATTAATAGATCGCTTCCCCACTGATTTGTAGGGTTTAAATCCACAGATTAACCGAGTAACAAAATAATTACCCAACTGTTATATTCAACCAACTTGTTGTTTTGCCTAGTAACGGTTTGCCATGGGTACCTTTTTTAAAGAAAATCAAATTAATACTCATATTAATGTTTGAAACTTATATAAAATTATTAATAGCAGATTGTGTGCATGTGTACATACGATAAATATTTCGTTTCGAAAAATTATCTTAAAAAATACTTACTAAATTCTGAAACTAATTTTTACCTGATGCCTAATAGTTTTATACAAAATACAATCTTCAGTCACATAAATATAACGCGAAAGAAAATATATTGAAATTAAATATCTAGGGAAATTAAAAAAAATTAATTGAAAAATTATAATTTTCAATAACATTTATTTATAATAACTAATAATTAAATAATTTATGTACCTATACTTATTTTTAATTGCATATAAAGTATTAAACCAGTTTATTACTTTGTTCAATTTTGTTTTTTTATGCCTACCTATAGAAAATGAATATTAAATTAATGTTCTCAATAATTTTCAAAAAACACAATAAACTTTCAAACTTAAATCAGGGGCTGATAACTCAAATGGAAAAACATGAGAATGGTAATTTAGTACCACTCCAATTAACGGAATGGCGCTCGTACCGAAAGGTCAGTTGTCAGCTCGTCAAAACTTCAAACCACTTCAAATTATCCTTCCTCCAGACTTCAAACCACCTTCAAACTTAGAAAAATTAAAATGGCTGTTGCAGTTGAAGGTGTATTGGATTTTGATTCATCTAGATTTATTTTATAATACCTTCCAATTTTAAGCATGTTTTCAAAAGATGGGAAGATGGATTTCAGCAACGAACAATAAAGCACTCCCAGATATTGGTAATGATGCCATTTATACCACATGTCAACAAATATGTAATACGATGAATTTAATAAAACGTATGTCACTAATGAATATGTCACGGCAACTGACGGCAACACTGTCAGCTACTAGAGTACATACAGGTCCGGTATAAGCCATATGAATGGAAAATTAAAATTAAAATGTTTTGATTGAGTTAAATAAAATAGTTTTTTTTTATTAAACATGGGCCCGGCAGGTTTAGCAGCTGATGTCTTTTTTTTTTAGAAGTTCGCCACAAAAGGGAGGACCTGGTTCACGAAAAATACAAGCTGGGGATCTCTCTTTTTTTTAGATTTCACCAAGAAAGTACCTGATTTTGCTGAGGACCTTTTTTTTAGAAACTTAACACAGAAAGGACTCTATTGTTTTTATAGAAATTTAACACAGAAATGACTTGATTTGTTATAAAAGTAACTCGGTATTTTCCCCAATTGTGCCAACCTTAGTTATACAGGGTGAGTCGGGAGGAGCGCACTAAACTCTAGGAGTATATTATACACGTGAAAATAATATAAAAAAATTCATATGTTCCTATCCGATTTTCATTTGTTTTCAAGTTATAGCATATTAACAAATAAACAAATTTACACATAAAAATTCTCTTAATCATACCGTTCTTTCAATAAATGTTCAAAATACCTCCATTTTCTGCTTCATCTACGAAGAGCGTTTGTTGCTCTCCTAATTAATTCATTTCTTTCTTCTTTAATATGGGCTGCCGTATTCTCAATTCGTCTAATTAGTGCATCCCGTGTGTCCACTTTTATTTTGTAGACTTCATTTTTCATCCAGCCCCATAAACAAAAATCCAATGGTGTGAGGTCTAGAGATCTTGCAGGCCAATTAATAGGACCTCTACGACCAATCCAACGCCCTGTAAAACGTTCGTCCAAATGTTGCTTGACCTGACGAGCGACATGTGCAGGAGCTCCATCGTGCTGGTAGTACATCTGCATTCTAATATTTACAGGAACATCCTCTAGCAGGTCGTGTAATTCATTTTGTAAAAAATTGAGGTAGTTGTCTTCTGTGAGACGATTCTCCAAAATGAAAGGGTCAACCATACCACACCACACGTTTACAGAAAACCGATGTTGAAAATTGCTTTCGACTGTTGCGTGGGGATTTTCGTCTGACCATACATGATAGTTACGAGTATTATTAATGCCATCACGGGTAAATGTAGCTTCATCCGTAAAGAGTATACTCGATACAACACGATGATTATTATTTATCCACCGACAAAACTCCATACGGTTAGCGTAATCCTGTGGTTGTAGGTGATGTACTCTCTGTACATGATAAGGATGTAAGCCTTGCTCGTGGAGTGTGTTTATCACTCTTTTTTTGTGGAATTCCCAATTGAGTGGCAATTCTCCGTGAGCTAGTAGTTGCATCTTCTACTAGATGCAGAATATTTTCTACTTCTACAAAACCTTGTCGAGTAGCGCGTTCAGATGTTATGAGAGCACTGGGAAGTTTACCAGTCTCGCACAATTTGTTGAAAACTCTAATAAATACGTTTTTATCAAGATGTCTTCGGTGTGGAAAACGTTGACGATATTCTTCAGCAGCAGCTGTAGCATTTCCATTATAGAAACCATAAACAAACACCATATTTGCATATTCTAAATTTGAATAAGTATCTGGCATTTTGCAACACTAACAATCACATAAATTCGAAATTAAACGTTCAGTTACTGTTCACTGTACACTGACAGTTCATCAAAACGTCAGAATTATCAAATGCCTTTGAGCCTTGAACATATGGCATACTTTGATAATGTTAAAATTCAGAAGTGGAAAGCTAGATGAACATTTTTAATTACGCCATAACTTGAAAACAAATGAAAATCGGATAAGAACATATGAGTTTTTTTACATTATTTTCACGTGTATAATATACTCCTATAGTTTGGTGCGCTCCTCCAGACTCACCCTGTATAAGGGACCCTTGCAGTGTTTTTTCCCCGGGGCTCCACCATGGCTCTCGGCGGCACTGGTATTAAACCATTGATCATTATAATGAAGCCAGCAGCAAAATAGATATTTGTGTACCAAGGCTGTGTTTTGGCCGAATTAGACTAAGCAACTTCTGGTTAAGTATAGGAGTAATAGGCAAGAAACGGATATTCAATCAAGATTAACATCGAGATAGATGTCAGATAAGCAGGTGTACTGAAGATGAACTTTGCAGAATCCAGCATCAGATAGGTATAACACTTGATATTCTTAAAACCATGCATACTACACTGAATAAGAACGAATGGAAGTGTCAGAAGGAGGCTGAAGTCAACAAATAGACGAAAGAGAGCTGAATAGATAGATAAGTCATATTTTAGCCAGAAGGGAGTCTATGAATTTTATAAATATGGTAAATTTATGAATGTATTATTGATGTATAATTTCAGTTTATTTTAATTTTAGGTATAAAACTATGGCTGACATAATAAAACTCTTAAAAGTATATATATTTTCAATCTTTATTACTATAAATTATTTAGTTTTTATTTATTCTCCCTGACCTAGCGAAAATGTTAGAAAACCCTGTTCATAACTGTTAACAATGTTGATATTCCTAATAATACAAAACATTACAGAGGTATGAACATGAACTTGGACTTAAGGCCAAGTTCAACTAATTAGTTTAACATTGAATCAAATACAAGTTCGTAAATATTACTTACCGTTGGTACAGTGATGGTGCATTTTTCTTAAGACACTTATTGAAAATTTGGGGGACGACTGCCTATTTAATGTGGTATAAATTGCATTACTACCAATATCTGGGAGTGCTTTATTGTTTGTTGCTGAAATCTATCTTCCCATCTTTTGAAAACATGCTTAAAATTGGAAGGTGTTGAAAAATAAATCTAGATTCTAGATGAATCAAAATTCAATACACTTTCAAATAAAATAGCCATTTTAATTTCTCTAAGTTTGAAGTTTTGACGAGCTGACAACTGACATGACATTTCGATACGAGCGCCATCCCTTTAATTGGAGTGGTACTAAATTACCAACCTCATGTTTTTCCATTTGAGTTACCAGCCCCTGGTCAGGACTTTCGGATTCAACGTTCGAATCCCGCTGGTGGCAGGGATTTTTATTTAATTTCATAAATTTAATAGTTATTTATGCAACAAGTACAAAAAGTAAGTGTTTATTGCATGCGACGTGACAATACGTCGAGTGCAATAAACACTTTTTGCACGAGTTGCATACAATATTTTGTCTACGTTCATACAAAAAATGTTTTATAGAACTGCAGTTGTATTATCCAAATCATAGTAGCCGTGATCGTGTACCTTTGTTTGAGGCATTTATTTACGTTTGTGTTCATAATTTGTAATGAGATTTATAATAAAATACATTTTTTTATTAATTAATTTATTAAATGATTGAAAATAATATAAAATATACAATTGTTTTTAAAACGTAACACAGAAAATGAAAATGGACTAAATATTTGGCGTTGATTTGAATATTTATGTTTGTCATGATTCTAAAATGCTGTAGTAAAATGACAGATGAGTGCAATAAAATTTTTATTGCACTAGTGCAATAAAGAACCAGTTTTTTCACTAAATATAGTTCAATAAAGTTTTGTTTTTTGCATGAACGTAGAAAAAATTAATTATAATACATAGCTTGGATTCCCCACTCGACCGTTCACTGCTGGGTTTTAATTAACAGTGTTTTCCTAAAGTGGCACTGGGAAACAGTAAGAGCGCCTACACCGAATATGAGGCTAAATACCATAGTGTAACGTTATAAATACGTTTCAGTTTTATTTTCGCAATATTCCTACATTTAATATTTATACCCTCCTGGGAAAAATATTTCGTCATGCCACTGGTACGAATATTTCCTTACCGTGTGTTTCAATCCCACCTGTCCTTCGAAAATCAATTATTTGAGTCCTGCGCGCGATCGGACAATGCAATTGAGCTTTTAAGTCAGCTTACGGAATATTATCTTTCTTTTCGTTGTGTGAGTTTGAACTATCCACTTGTTTTTGTAAAATGCTTGGTGACAAAAGATAATTATTTATTAAATTTGGTTATTTAGAACTGCTTCATCAGTGATTACAGGTTCAACATCTCGTTTGTAGATTATTAAGTGAATTCCACAAATTGTTTTGGGTTGACTAACGTTTTATACCGCATTCCATGAAAATCGACCATTTTTAGTTTTTTTAAACAAGGTAACTAAATACTGTTGCGAATCTAATCAATCGCTGCAATTTTAATAATTGTTCTGTATTAAATGTACTTATTTTGTGTAACACATGTTAAGAGTTGGAAAGGTTTTTTTATATTAGTGACTTTTTATATTAGCTGACACCGTTTTTTTTACATAAAAGAGGATACCGGCCTACATAAAAGAGGAGGTCCGCCTATATATAATAGAGGATACCGGCCTACACGAAAAAAAAAAAGATATCGGCATACATAAAGAAGAGACAGTAATTAAGCCATACTAAAGAGCTTAAACTGGTACGAAGGAGGATACCGGCAAATTAGCAAGAGTAGCGGGGCGATACCTTCCATAGAGTGTGATGCCGACATATTTGGGA